CATCTGTACCAGGCGTTTTTCTGGCGTTCGTGGCAAATCAAAGCGTCCACACGGGCGTTCAGCACCGGCGTTCGGCCGGCTACGCATTCAGGTGGCGTCAAATAAATGCTGCATGAAACGTTTTCTTGGCGTCAAAATCCCGACAAACACTATGAAAACGACGCTATTGCGTTTACATGGCGTTCGATTGGCGTTCTGGAGGACCGAATATGTCCCATGATTCTGTACCGCAACTATTATGTTAGATATGCGTAATACGTTTGCTTTTATTTTTGATTTAAAATACGCGTTTCATGCGTCTTTGTCGTGCAAGCGACAGCCCGGACCGCGGCGCCATACCCGTGTAGCCGAGAGCCAGGAGCCGGTAGCGGGGAGCCGACGCTGCCCAGGATGGTCCCAGATGCGGGGCAATGTCGCCGGCTGGTTAACTTTAACCGGGTTGTAATAAAGAATAGGGATGCATGTTTTCAATGCAGAACTATAAACCAAGATGACCCACGTGTAAACACTTTGGACAGAGTAATTACTGCCCCCACAGGTAAATACACGAAACTACAGATTGGGCGTCAGGTAGGTGTTAAACAGCGTCAAGCGAACACCAGTGAAACGCCAATCGAACGCAGCTACAAAACGCAGGAAAAACACGTATGGCGTTCAGAGGGCGTTCATTTCGAACGTCCGTGTGGACGAGGCCTAAGATCTGCAGTGATGGGGCGATGTTGTGCTTTCGTTGTGAATGAACCACACACATAACAGAAACTGTCTGGATGATTAATGCGATTTCTAGGCATGATAACAACTGAAAGCCAACACAGTTGATGCTGTCTGTCACCGCCGCCTTCGATTTCCAAGACGATGACACAGAATTCAAACTTGTGAGTTAGATTTAGCATTTCTTTTGCAACAATTTGAGAAATAATAAAAAAATTGTCAAGAAGCTTACGTCAGCAAAACGAAACCTGAGGCACAGCGACCTATGTTTCTCGCCAAACTAAGTTGTATACAGAAGACATGCACATGCACACTAGGTCAAATTAATCATTCTCAAATCGCAACTAGACAGGTGTCAATAAAACATAAATCAATATCTAGTCACCTAGAGAATGTTGATGCTGTCTATAAGATAAAAAACACAGACAACTCTTGTAATACACTTAAGCAGACTACATGTACATAATATCATATTACATATAGCTTCATCACAAAAACTTGACGTGCTAGAGAAAAAATAAACACAGATTTGAAATCAGCATGAAAAATACTACAAAACCCACAAAAAATTACCTCTGATGAAAATGACCTGTTAACCTGTGTTCCTTGAACAGGAGTGGGCAAACCTACTAAATACATAACAGAGTATTGCAAAATACATTTGTCACAGACAATTTAGTCACTGCTGTTTTTGGGACACATATTGCATTTTAACAGTAGCTTCTGCTCTGTTAAAATGAATCTTTGGGTCAAGGGTCATCATAGAGGAAGCATCTCAAGCAATGAGAAGCCAAGTGCATACTTACTCATTGCATTTAATAAATTAATGGTTTATTTTGTTGCTCGGGCTGCATGTAGCATATATACATCACTGGTGTTACGTGCTGTAAGGGCTGGGTAAAAGAATTTTTGTATGCCATATATCTTTTATATCATTGATTTTAAATTGTTGCACAAGGTCACCTTAACCCCTATGAGGAGGCATTTAAATAATTATGAATGGAAGTAAGCAGCTCTTTTAAAAGCCATCGCTGTTTAATTAAGGTAGTTGATGTTAAAGCACATCCCTGTGGCCTGTATTACGAAGCGGGGTTACTGGCTTATCAGGGTGTCGGATTTAAGGTACCACAGTTTAAATGGACCTCATATTCGTTCACTTACATTTTGCCCAGACTGCCTTAAATCCGACAAGTTACCCCAATAAGCCAGTAGCCTCGCTTCGTAGCACAGGCCACTGGTGTCAGGAATGGGAGGAGTGAGCAGCTCACGACCCATAAAGTGAGATCTACAACACTGCAATGATCTACTGTAGCACATACAAAAGCAGGGGCCAACCTAGTAGTCTCACTAAGTCTCAGGTACCACTGCATTGGGAATGGGAGACCAGTTCTTGAGTGTAGAGATGACAGCGGGAGGAAAACCCTGCAGTAAGTATAAGGATAAAGACCACATTACGGAAATGAGGTTACTGTGCTACTCTTGGGTAACCCTGAGTTTGGCTGCTCTTGATGCTTACTGTAATTTCTCTCCCTATAATATAATTTACGTTGTGAAGAATATTACTATTTGAATCTTTTTTTATTTACGTTTTACTTCTTGTGTTTGTGTCTGTACTTTAGGCACAGTATATAAAAAGATTGTAAACTACAAAAGAATACTTTTTCAATTTTGTTATCCATCCATCCATCCATCCATCCATCCATTTGCTATACCCTGTTGTCCAATGCCTGTAGAATTATTAATTTATATGTAAACATGTTTAAAGGGATATTATTATGGCACACAGCAAAACCCTGTACTTTAAAACGGGTGGATGGGTGGATTGATAATTATATGGATTTCATATTATATGTATAAATATATACACACATACACTATATGGACAAAGGTATTGGGACACCTGGCCATTACACCTACAGGAACTTTTATGACATCACATTCTAAATCCATAGGTGTCTGTATGGAGTTAGTCCTCCCCTTTGCAGCTATAACAGCTGCCTCTCTTCTGGGAAGAGTTTGGAATGTGTGGTTATTTTTGCCCATTCATCCAGAAGAGCATTTGTGAGGTCAGGCACTGATGTTGGACGTGAAGGTCTGGCTCGCAATCTTATTATGAACTAATATTGTAGTTCATGAGGTTGAGGTCAGAGCTCTGTCTGGGCCAGTCAAGATCTTCCACACCAAACTTACCCAAGCATGTCTGACCTTGCTTTGTGCACTGGGGCACAGTCATGCCGGAACAGAAAAGGGCCTTCCCCAAACTGTTCCCACAAAGTCGGAAGCATGGAACTTGATATGCATGCCGAAGCATTTTGGATAATTCTATGCTAACATGCTCATCTGGATGAATGGGCAAATATTCCCACAAGCATACTGCAAAATCTTGTGGAAAAAAACTGAAAGTAGGTCTCTGAAAGTTGCTGGTTCCAATCCTGTGGTCACAGTTGGGTCCTTAACCGCAAATAGTTCCAGGGACTGGCTGACTCTCATTATTCAATTGCACTGTGCTTTGGATAAAAGCATGTAAATGAAGTTGGGGTAGTTTAGTTAAAAGGGCAGATCTCAGCTAAGATTGAATTCCTAATCAGGAGAGGTTTAACGTCTGTCATTTACAATGTGTTACACTGTGTAATGTCAAACATTTTGAAAAGCAGGACTGAGTATATGATTACTTGGTCTTCGTTTCTTCACTGGTCGTCGAGTTCATGGTTGCAGTGTCTTCCAGAAAATTCAGGGCATAAAGCAAGGCATGCCCAGAGCAGGATCCCGGGCCTTTGCTGGGCGCACGCTCAGACACACACGCTACGGGACATTTGGAGACAGCAGTTCCCCTGATCACATGACCTTGGAATTCAGGAAGAAACCAGCCAGAGGTTGTCAGACACTCAGGGGTTAAATATGCAACCTCCTGGCACAAACATGCAGGTGTGTCCCTCAGGCGGCGGAGTGGTGTCACCGTTGGGCCCCTGAGCGAGGCCCTTAACCCTCAGATGCTCCAGGGACTGGCTGATCCTGCTTTCTTTCTCTCTCTCTCTCTCTCTCTCTCTCTCTCTCTCAAAAAAGCATGTCGCTTTGCTTTGCTGAATAAAATGTAAAACGTGTAGCCATCACATCGCTGTTAATGATAATTATTATTGATAACAACACCAACCAATGTCGTAGGGGACAGTTTGATATTGGGGGGGGACCCACTTAATAGTTTCAACATGAAGTTTTATGAAATAAGGCAAATTAAATATTAAGGGTTACAAGACTAATTGACAGATAAACCAGCACTTACTACTGACAAACAACAATTAAATAATATTTTATTCAGTCCTGCTAGTAAAACAGCAAGTAACACTTAAATAACGTGACATAAAAAAGGAAGTGAATTATTATTTTTGCTAACATTTCTTGCAATAGGCCTACTCATATTAAAAGTAATGTAGGATTATAATTTATAACCTAAATTAGTCTATTGCCAGGATTATTATTAAGATAATTCAGTTTCTTTATATAGCACATTTTCACAACAATACATTGACTCAAAGAGCTTTACAGTATATTGTCCTTGCTCAACGCCTCCAGTGAGCAAGGCAGAGGTGACACTGGGAAGGAACTCCCTAACTCCCCAGTAGGAAGAAACCTTGAGAGAAACCAGACTCAAAGGGGGGGCATCCTCCAGGGGGCGGCAAAGGAAGTCCAAAGTTTAGAAAGTAAAACTGTGTGTAGTCCAGATGATGTCAGGACATGGAGGTGAGGAAGCAGCTTCCTTCGGCAGGATGGAGGGGTGTTGTGATCCAGCAGCAGGTACTCTCTCCATGACAGAGAACTGAATACTATTAGGCTAATATAAAGATACTGCTATTTAGATCAAGCTGTTTTGTTAAGCAATGATAACTAATAAAGGAAATCCTCATGAATTACTGAATTTTTCTATAGTGTAGCATCCATGCATGCTAACCTAGCTGAGGTGAAAACAGTGAGATTGATGATAAGAGACCTGTAGCCGTCAAACACCGTAGTAGATCGCTAATATACGTATAATCGTGTATCATGCAAAATGATTTAAGCCGCTACGCAGCACTTAAGTCAGTTATCTTTCTAGTGGATTAGAGGTAAATTTCTAATACTCGGATTACTAAAATGTTGTTGTGAATCGCTGCCAGTGACACAGATTGTCAGTGAGATGGGTGTCTGCGGATCCAGGCTTGGCATGCCTTCCCTCACCGGCCGCAGGCGGAGGGCGTGGCGGCGCAGCTGTATGTGACACCTTGGCGCTCAGGTTCGCGCAAAATGTATGTGAATCAACATCAGCCAGCATTTGGGCAAAGGATCCGCTCTGTGATAAGGAGAGAGGAATGACCGCTCTTTTCTGATTCGCAAAACATTTCCACAAATTTCCATATTGTGTTTTTTTACTTCAGGCAAATTCCACGTAGTGTCTGAAGGCAGCGCCGGTGTTTAAATAGGAGAGCAAACTGAAGGATTTTTTTTTTAATCAATAATGGCTAAGAAAAGTCCCTTTGGTAGGAAAAGTTTGAAAAGTTTGTTTTCCAAAAGCGAGGCAAACCTGGCCAGCTCGGGGGAGAAGGACAGTGGTGGAAAATCCTTCAAACTCTTCAAGTGGAAGAAGAAGAAATACGTTTCACACACAGACGATGCTGACGAAGAAAATGCGGTAGTTTCCAGGTAAATGCGCACTGGTTCGTTGGAGTATGGCTTTCTGTTTTCTTAAGTTATACGTTTTGTTCTGCTTTAGTGTGTATCTGTCGCGTACGTATTAAGAGACATGCTATGAATGTGAATATAAGCTATTGTGTGAAAATTACATTGGTCAGCAAAACTGCGAACTACAGGCGTCTTGGAAAAACAGAACCATCCACATTTCGGTAGTCCAGGTCCAGATCGGCCAGTTTCGACCCCTTGGACGAATTTTAATATATTATTCTGTTGTATATAGTTATGTATATTTTTCTGTTCGTTGCTAATCGTTATTTAGAAAAAAACATCTGCACAACTTATTTTTCTGTTTTACATAATACTTTTTTCCCTTTGGGTATTTGCTATTGGATTTTATGTATACATGCATATACCACATGCAGGGGCGGATTAAGGTGTACGGAGGCCCCTAGGCTACAGTAGTCTGTGGGCCCCCCAACCCAGCCCCGCTCCGCGCCAATGGGGGCCCCCTTGCAGGCTGGCACACGTGGGGCCCCTAGGCTTAAGCCATATCTAGCCTGTGCGTTAATCCGCCCCTGACCACATGCTAGAATATTTCCAAAACAAGTTATAAAAAAATTAGAAGCTATAAAATGATTCACAGTGTATTCACTATATATATATATATATATATATATATATATATATAGAGAGAGAGAGAGATAGATAGATAGATAGATAGATAGATAGATAGATAGATAGATAGATAGATAGAGTTTATTAACCCCTAAGAAGATGATGTAATGATGAGTATATTTCTTCTGGCCCTTCAATATCCTGCATGCTTTGTGTCATGAGGTTTATGACACATATTGGCCCATTGAGGGGGCGATGGGCTGAAATCCCCCAGTGACCTGCTTCCGCGGGGCCTGTCAGATCGGGGGGTTGGCCCCTCTGCGGGTGTGTGAGCGCTTCCTGCTGGGACTCTCCCTTGTCTTCCTCTCGACGTGATGACTGGTTAACCGGGAGAGTCAGGAGAATTCCCTCTGCGCTGCCCTGCGTTTGGGCTGGTGACTCGGGTCAGAAACGTGATCATTAGCTTACTTACTTAAGGCTATAGCTTACTCTCAGCGCTTATCAAACCGGGTGGCATGGCTGTAATCCAGGCTGACTATAGAGCAGTACTTCCCCACAGCCCCTCCCCCCCAACCCCCACTCAGCATAATTTACCACCACCAGCCTGCCCCCCCAGGGTGAGACATTTCCAGGCAGAAACTCAGTCCAGCTCCAGCCTTACCTGAAAGTATGTCTGATATGAGGTGAAGTATGTTCATGGTGTTGATTGCCCAATGCGAGGCACTTCAGGCATTTCACTTTGCATTCTCACAGTGCTTCGGCCGAGGAAACAGCATTTCCTCTAGTATTCTCCCCCTGCTGTGGTAGCTGTGTGATCCCAAATTATTTTATTCAGTTCTGCCAGGGCAACAGCAATCGTGTCGCCATCGGTGAAGATGACTGAACAGTAATGTACAGTGACTGCACACATGTTGGCCCAGCTGCAGTGAAAACAGTGAGATGCGTGATCAGAAACCTGTATATCTTGGTAAAAACAGTGAGCCGTCTCCATGCCGACCAGGTGGCCGCGGTGAAACTGGCAACACGATCGATTCCCCTTTCACATCCACTCTGCAAAACATTGTCATTTTGCATTTTTTTTAGGTTCGGCAGTTTGATGACCCGTGAGATTTGCATCTTATGTCTGTGAGGTGGCTGCAAACTTTCAAAAAAGTGACACTGATGGGTAAAAACCAGGAGACTCAACACCTGTGAAACTGCACAGTAAAAATGTGCTGCTGTCTTTCACTTGGGGTGGATTTAATCTCCATTGCTAACAAGAACAGTTTAGGGTGACTAATGCTCTCCACCCCATTGAATTGGTCATAGTGTCAAGCCTTACAGTCTCCATGTGTTTATTTTCTTCTTTTTTTGTTATTTTGTGATAAACCACTTTACAGGAGAGGACAAATTCACATAAAAAACATGGAATCTGGGTGAAGATGAGGTTACCAATATTTGATCGGCGAAACCCAACAGAAGATGCTTAATCTTTTCTCATCTCCCTCTGCAGCTAATGCGTTTTAACCTCTGACCCTTGACTGAAGAAGGCAAAAGTCATGTGTTTGGAAGTAGTGTTACACAAAATTACCCAGAAGCATATGCAAGATATGTTGCAAGTGCTCTGGAATATGATACTTTTACAATAAAGTGCTCATGTTTTATGGTCCTGTTTCTTTTGGGGTTTTGTCTTCAGCCCAGCTTGGCTTAGCACGGGCGGCAGGGTGTGGTCTTCACCCCTGGATTCCTCAGATCAGGGTGTGGTCTTCGCCCTTGGATTGCTCAGATCAGGAAAAGTTTATCAGTGTGTCAAATCGCAGTGAGAGTGACTCTTCAGTGTGTGGCCCATGCAGGGTTCTGCTAGGGGTGTGGCATGCAGCGAAGCAGCTCGTGTCTTTGGGAGAACCGGCCACCATCCACGCAGCCGCGTCGACACACGTGTGTCTTACAGTCTCCTGCACTTTTGTACAGCAGGACCTTGACTGTGGAGCTTCAGTGCTCATGCAGCCATGTGGCTGCATGTCAGTCTTGATAGTGCCTTCATGTCGAAGGTGTTCCTGGGCAGAAAAGGTGGCTAACGCATCTCCCACAGCTTTCTGTACAGTGGCAATATTCTGCAGGGCCAGAGGCTTTCTGGGTAAATTTGTGTAACACTACTTCCAAACATGACCTTTGCCCTCTTCAGTCAAGGGTCAGAGGTTAAGATTCATTAGCTGTAGAGGGAGATGAGAAGAGGCTAGGTTCTGCTGGGTTTCCCTGAACAAACACTGGAAACCTCAGCTTCATGCAGATTTCATGTGTTGGACTGAGTACAATGCTTGATCGCAGTCTCATTGCAAGTTTCTGAGTCTCAGTTTGTCTTCTATAACCCAAAGCTCTTCTGGAGCACAAAAAGCTCCAAGCAGTCTGGAGGAAGAGACCGTTCAAGGTCTTTCAAAGGGAGGCATTGTCCTCTTAACAAGTGACACATTGTTTTCCTTTCTCTGTAAACACACATGCATGAGGGGCACCGTTCCGCATTGTTATTCTGAGTGCCTCGAATTATTTAGTATTTTTCAGCGACAGGAGCTGGCAGCAACCGATGGGCTCGGGAGGAGGAACCCGTCAGCCCTCATAGCTCTGCTCTTGCTAAATCTCAAGCAACATTTGCCGCACCGATCTGGCGGCTGGACAAGTGCCTGTTGCTGTGTGCAAATGCAATCCTTCCCTCCAGGGTATCCACTGGCATGTTGTGAAATGAGCTTTTACACTTTATTATTTAATATGTGTTCATATGTCAAGAGGGTCAAGAGACACACTCAGTACAATGCATGCGATGACTGATCATTTATTGTTTATTTCAACGCACTTAAGTAATTATTGCTTGATTTACCAAAACCGTAGCATGTGGTGCTCCATTAACCTAATTTAATAACCATAAAGATACGACGAGTTTATACAGATTACTAAATTTTGGGCATCACAATACACATCTCATTAATATTTTTGGCATACTACCAATGCTTATCGAATTGTGGGTGAAATTAATGTCTGTATAGTGCAGAAAAGCTGGTGTCTGTTATCCAGCTCCCTGCAATGACATGCAGGTCGTTGCTGTCAAAATAAAATTAACTTAAACAGTCCATGTGATTAAAATTAGCCAAATACATTAATTGACCATTCGGTAAAATAGTTGATAGATTAATCCATAGAAAAATAGTCGTTAGTGGCACCACTACTTCAGTCCCAGGATTAAACTAGGATTCAAAAATGCAGTGGTTTCTTAATTTTTTTCCAGAGCTGTATGTGTAATGCGTTTCATGTGGACCTATCTTCCTTGTTCCTCTGTCCTCCAGCCCGGGAGAACCCGACGCGAGTGAAGATGTCCTCGACCACCCCAACATCCACCACGGTGCCACTGCATCTGTGTACAGCACTGTCCCCAGGGCAAAGGTTGGTTGAGTCCCTGTCCACACCAATGCTGGGGTTTCTGTCTAAAATCCTTATGGGTGAGTCAGTGGCAGTTCTTTGGTTTATGGCTTGAGAAACACAAACCCAGTGCAACAGCTGTTTCCTCACATGTGCGGTGGGGGTGCCAGTCGCCCCCTAATGATTCCTTACCATCTCCTGCATTTTATACAAGCTGGCAGTGAAGGTACAGTAACCACCATTTCTACAGTCACCATTTACACTGCAAGCCAGGATACCAGCAATTCACTTGTAGGCTTGAAGAAAATAGTCAGTTTTTTTAATAAAAAAAATTCAATTTCAATTCAGTTTATTTTTATGTAGTGCCTTTCACAACAGAGTGAAATGCTTTATCTGTATCCTGCATGAACTATATAATGATCATTTATTTACATTACTATATTATTTAAACATGTAGTTTTATGTGCCATGTGCCGTGGTGTCTGGCTTTATGAGCAAACGTTCGACTCACTGTCACGATGTGCAGCTGCGGCCTCCGTGTTTGTTCTGGGTTCACTGTGGCCCATTGTGTTCTGCAGCCGCTGTTTGTCCTTGGCTCATTATTGACTTCTGGCAGACTGTGCATGTGGGATGGCAAGACAAACAGAGATGCTGCCCGGTTCTCCACGCTGCCGGATCTCACCTGTCGGGCAGTTTGCAGACGTTTCAGGTGCTCAGTTGAGGCCAGAGCTGACTTTGTGAGCAACTAAGAGTAAGTTCTGTGGGCTTCAGCTGGTGTTTGATGCAGACTCTGTCGGCTGGTGTTTGATGCCGGCTGTGTCAGTTGATGCTTGATGCCGGCTGTGTCGGCTGGTGCTTGATGCCGGCTGTGTCGGCTGGTGTTTGATGCCGGCTGTGTCGGCTGGTGCTTGATGCCGGCTGTGTCGGATGGTGCTTGATGCCGGCTGTGTCGGCTGGTGTTTGATGCTGACTGTTTCAGTGTCTGGGTGACACGGTGGCTCACTGGGTAACACTGTGACCTCATGTTCTCAGAGCTGTGAGTTTTCACCTGAGCAAATGAAAGTGCCCCATTTAATGATACTCTTATAGCAGTGCTCAATAATCCATTTACATTTATTTAGCACATGCTTTTACCCAAAGAGCCTTACAGTGGAATCTCAGACAATCCCTTGAGCAACTGGGGGTTAAAGGCCTCACTCAAGGGCCCAATGGTAAAAATTATTCTGCTGACTCTGCGATTTGAACCAGCAATCATCCGACCACTAGGCCGCAGACCACCCCCTTTATTCTGACTAGGAACTGAAGTAACTTCATAAACTAGTTTTCTACTATATGTTGTCATCCATATAAGTAAGAATTAGTATCAGAATAATTTATTAGCTTGGCAGACATATAAAAATGCCAAGCAAAGTACAGAGATTTATCACAAGTAGCCACTTGACTGCATAACTAAATCAAGCGTGCAAAAGCATACAAAAGGTCAGAGTAGTTCGTAGCCAGAAGGAGACAGACACAGTGAGTGTAGGAGAGATGGGGCTGCTAATCACAGAGTGCCAGAGTGCTGGAGGCAGTCCCCACATGGGGTGTCCCCCGCCCTGTACGCTGTGCTTCTGGAGACAGTCCCCCGCCCTGTACGCTGTGCTTCTGGAGACAGTCCCCACATGGGGTGTCCCCCGCCCTGTACGCTGTGCTTCTGGAGACAGTCCCCACATGGGGTGTCCCCCGCCCTGTACGCTGTGCTTCTGGAGACAGTCCCCACATGGGGTGTCCC